GTTAAAGAACTTAAATTTGGAAGATATGAAAATACGCGAGCGAGTAAAATCAGCAATTTGTATGCTTCAATAGTTGCACCGTTGTACACTTTATAATTCGCTTGATTGATGAAATCATTCACCTTTTCAAACGATTTTTGATTAGCTAAAACTGACTTAATATCTACTTTTAGTTTTACTAAATTTTCATACGAAATTTGATGTACACTTTCTATTTTAATTATATGCCAACCAAAGCTACTTTCTAAAATGTCGCTAATCTCTCCTTCCTTGAGAGCAAAGATTATATCTTGCATATTTTGAGGCAGAAAGTCCTTAGTTATATTATTGATTCTAATATCTGCAAAACCTGTTTTACCAAATTCTAATGCCACTTGTTCAAAATTTCTTTTGTCTTCTATCAACATTTTTTTTGCCTTTTCAGCTTTTTCTTTAGTGGAAAACACTAAATTAAGTACATCTCGTTGATCTTTTAGAGCTCGTTGTTCAATTACATTGTCAACTTCTTCAGCTGAAATTTTGACCTGATCTTCAAAATATTTTGGACCTATAGAAATATATTGTGCAGTTCTATACTCTGGGTAATAAAAATTAGATTTGTTCTTCTCATAGAAATTAAGTAAAGTCTGGTTATCAGGTTCAGAAATACTAGTAACTGCATCTTTAGTTATTTTTATAATATCTACTACTCTAGTTTGATAACGATGTTTATAGATTTGTTCATCAATTTCCTCACCATAAGTTATTGGATAACTATCTTTAAATAAGGAAGTCATAAACATTATCGCTGGTAAGATTCTTTTTAGTTTTAACACATATTCTTCTTCGGTGATATGCAAGCTATTTAACATCTCATTAAATTTGTTTTTATCAAATTCACCTGTGTCATTTTGAAAGTATTTTGTATTTTTAATATGGTCTTTAATTGATTCTTCTCCAACTTCTAAGTCGAGTTCATTTGTTAGATTAAGCAATAATTTTTGTTCTATGAGTGCATTAAGTAAATCATATTTCAACTTTTTTTGTGTTTCACTAGAGCTAGTAGCATTACTGTAGCTTTGATATAGAGACTTATATTCATTCAGTGATATAACTTCCTTTCCAACTTTTGCCACATGTTGCTCTTGATCGTTATCTGACAAAAGATTACTAATCCCTACTAAGATTAATAAACAAGCTAAAAAGACAGCAATTACCTTAGTGGAAGTATTCATACATGTGTAAGCTAACAAACAGTTAATTATAGGATAATGATAATTTTACTCTTGTAAACCCTTGTCACTTTAGTAGATAGGGCCACCTCATAAAAAAGTTATTTTAGTAAAAAGTACGTATTCCTTGAAAAATTGAGGAAACAATATATTAGATGTATGTGATCCCAGAATATGATGGTATAAAACAAAGTAGTTTCATTAACTAGTTGACTTTTGCAATTGTTGTAGTAACTTTATTGATTATGTTAGGTAATCTTAGAAATAATAATTACAATATTCCTACAATCTTTTTGCTATCTAGTACTGCTGCTCTAGTTATTGCATATATACTGCAATATTTTTTTAACATGTTGCCATGTAAGTTATGTATATACGAACGCGTAGTTTTTTATGCTGCAGCATTGCTTGCAGTAGTATGTCTACTTAAGCACAATAAAATTCTGATTTATATGATGTTTTGTAGTTATATAATAGGTACAATTATATCTTTCTACCACATTGGCCTTGAACTTCATTGGTTCCATGATATCGTAGGGTGTACAGAACAGATAAGCAACAATGTTACTATGGAAGAACTAAAGAATAATCTATTGAATCCTAATTATTCTCCATCTTGTGATAAACCGCATTATATTCTGGGTATTTCTTTGGCAATGTGGAATTTAATTTATCTATTGGCAGTTTTGTTCATATCAAGCAGCACTTATATTAAAAAGAATAGTCATTAATGCTATTGTTGGTCAATTATTGAGCTGCTATAGCTGGGTAGAGTACATATGTATTCTGATAATAAATGGAGGACAAGTTGAAAAACAATATTAATAAATTAAAAGGAAATTTT